AAACAATACTATAGCATTCCCAGACATAGAAGAAAGTATTTTGAAAAGCGAATGTCCAGTTATTTTTAGGAGAATAACTGAATATATTTTCACTTTGATTAAATTTTCTTTTCTCCTAAATTCTAAACAAAACAAATCCAAGTATGTGTCATTTCATTGGGCTGAACTAAAAAAACTAAAATAGATAAGAAACGAAGGTATTAACAAATGTCTACTATATTTTGTTAAATGTTTTTCGCGAACAATTGTAATACTAAGTCATTTCACATTTCCAAGGTAACACCTTTGTCAATGCCAAATTATTCTGTTCCAGATCAAAACTAAGAAGAAAGATTTCTCAATTTGATACACAAACTGTGCACACTTTTTGTTGTTGGTAAAGAGTAATGGCCACCCCCTGCCATACTTTGCCAACTGGACTCAGTGGTTCAAGACTTGGCCAGGTTGTGCAGAACTGCCCAGGTCAGCAGTGCCAGGTACTCAATATGGCAACCCAACTGGTGCTGGAGGGTACCAGGGCTACACCTGGTGGTGCTAGAGCCATAAAATGGCAGGGATCTGTCTTGGGCCCTTGTGCTTGTGCCACTAACTATCTGAACCATCTCCACTGAATTATTTCCCTGCTCCCCAAAATATAAACGCTGTTCCTTGTGAACTTCATGTCACGGTCACAGTCCTCCCATTGTTCATCGAGCAGGCTCAGTAACTAAATTATTGTGTAACAAGTGATTCCTAAACTTATACCAGGGCTTGATCTAAATCTTTCTTCAACTGACTTAATTTCCTTTCTGTGTCCACCCAGGCCTACTTGTTGCCCCCCTAGTTTAGCACCATGCCACACGAGACTCTCCCCTTCCACCATTTACCCAATTTTATCCTTTCCACCTGTGTTCCATTTGCAATATTTCAGGATCCCATAGGGGAGTATATGACCCTGGAGTTGAGAAATGATCAGTTTTGTTCTCCAAGCACTTCCTGATGTGGTCCAAAAACAAAACAAAACAAAGCAAAAAAAAAAAACCAACCTATGGAGTGAAAAAGAAAGAGAAAGAAAGGAAGAAGATAGCCAATTTGCCACATAAACATTGATACAAAACTAATAGATATGCATGGTGAAGGAGTGACCAACAGGAAGTTGTATTGCTCTAAATGGGGGTTGGGAGTATCTGTCCCACTGTGAGCAGAGGGGAACCCATAGTAAAGCAAACTCAAAGTCCATAGTAAAGTCAAACTCCATCCTGAAGCATAGGTCAGCAGATCAGTTTCCAGAGTTACAGAATGTACCGTCTGAAGAAGACCTCAGGAAAGGGCAGAGAACTGATGCAAAGAGTTGAAGTGGACGCATAATCACCAGTATGAGGACAGAGTTAGCTCTCAGCAGTGTCTCAGGGAAAGGGAACCCCAACGACAATGTCTAATCATTAATTTCTCTCATTTAGCTTCCCTTTCAAGAGGGCTGTTTTCAGTGATTTAGCTGCACATTCCTTTTGCATTTTCTGGGGTGTACTTTAGAAAAAGGAGTAGAAATTAAAACACACAAGGTCAGAGCAGATGCTATTTGAATTGGGCAGAGTACAAGCTGGGACATTGGAACCAGAACCCAGGATTCCACCCTAGGTACTGTATGTTGTTCAAACTGCTGGTTGTAGCCCTACTAACCCACAGTATTGCTGAGGAGCTTACACACACAGACACACACAGATACATACACAGAGAGAGAGAGAAAGCTTCACCTACAGGACTTAAAGATGAGACCAGTGTAGCCTCTGCACAAACCTAGACCCAGGATCTAGTCCCAGTTGTACTACAAAATAGTATTGAAATTTTGAGACAATTGGAAATCACCTATTAAGTGTATTCAGTTATCTGCATGATAGTACTATTGAAACATGTATATGTGTTGTGATAATCTCCCCATTGGCCACCCTCCAGAACCCACGGGTACTCCTCCCAGACGGGAGTATAAAATGAGGCCCCTGTAGCCATGCCACCAGACTTCATGCCAGGCTGTTTTCACTCGGGGCTCCCCAGACAGGGGTGGGTGAGAGCCAGGGATCCATCCCCAGCAGCCGACCTTCACTACCCAACCACTACCATGCTCCAGGTCACTTTCCGGGCAGTCGTGCAACACATCATATGAACATTTTCCCATAATTACCAAATTTTCCATAATTACCACATCATGTTTGATGGGGTTCAGACAGTAGGCAACAAATTATATATATATATATATATATATATATATATATATATATATATCTCAGAGAGCCCGGCAAGCTACTGAGAGTATCCTGCCCACACCAGTAGAACCTTGCAAGCTCCCCGTGGCATATTCAATATGCCAAAACCAGTAACTATAATAGGTCTCATTCCTCTGACCCTGAAAGAGCCTCCAATTGTTGGGAAAGATGAGTAAGGAGAAGTTGCTAAAATCTCAGGGCTGGGATGAATAGAGACGCTACTGGTACCCACTCAAGTAAATTGATGAAGAATGGGATGACAGTGATACAGTGACAATGTGTTGTGTGTGTACTTATAAGCCACATGACAAGAGGACTAGAAAATAGTATGAAATAATTGTTAAATGACAGTGATTAATACTATTTTGATACTAGAGTTACCACTCGTTTGAATTTTAAAAAATGCAGATGTCAGAGAATATTCAGTATTCTTAGTGAACGCTGAGTCACTTGTTATAGGACACAGTGGTAATACAGTGGATACAACACATGCCTCGTAGGTACCCCAACCAAGTTCTATCCTAGGCACCTCATATGACCCGATGAGCTCTGCCAGGAATGACTCCTGAGCACAGAATCAAGAGTAAGCCCCAAGCACTGTATGCCGTGTCCCCCAAAAGTCCTAACTTTAAAAAACGAAGTAAATAATGTTCACGATCACAATCATGATCATCCCGTTGTTCGTCGATTGCCTCTAACAGGCACCAGTAACGTCTCCTTCTTCCTAGCCCTGAGATTCTAAAAACTGCCACATTCAAGGCTCTTTCAGGGTTAGGAGAAAGAGACCCATCATTGTTACTGGTATTTGGCATATTGGGTACGCCATAGGGAGTTTGCCATACTCTGCTGTGTGGGCAGGTTACATTCCGTAGCCTGCCAGGTTGTGGAAAGCAAGAATGAGATAAGATGTCACGGCCGTATGCTTCCAGGAGCTGGGTTTTATAGTCTCTGGGTCTTGGCCATTGATGGGATTACACAGTGCCCGGGGGTGGGGGGCTGTTGGTGGGTGTGACCCCTGCCTACTGGAAGATGGAGGATCTGGGTGCAGGATGCTCAGCCCCAATCCGAGCAGGCTTGGAGATCTCAGCCCCCGGATCCGCATGCCTTTGTTCCTCTGCCAATACCTTCATGCCTGTGGAGAGTAGTCTCAGCATGGTTTTGACTGGTTCTGGAGGTCTTCGGCTGCCAGGACTCTGGTTGGGGCGGGAAAGGAAACTCAACCCGCCTCCCTCCAAGGGGCCCCGGTGAGGACAGCCAGGAGCGGGGAGAGGAGACTCTGCATGCGGGTCCCGTTGCTGAGATCTCCAAGCCTGCTCGGATTGGGGCTGAGCATCCTCCACCCAGATCCTCCATCTTCCAGTAGGCAGGGTTCACACCCACCAACTGCCCCCAGCGCCGTGTAATCCCATCAATGGCCAAGACCCAGAGACTATAAAACCCAGCTCCCGAAAGAGAACAGCACAGAGTCTCCTGCCCTCGCGCCTGACTGTCCTCGCTGGGGCCCCTTGTAGGGGGGCGGGTTGAGTTTCCCTCCCCACCCCAACCAGAGCCTCGGCAGCCAAAGACCTCCAGAACCAGCCACAACCATGCTGAGACTACTCTCCACATGCATGAAGGTACTGGCAGAGGAACAAAGGCATGCGGGTCCCGGGGCTGAGATCTCCAAGCCTGCTCAGATGAGGGCTGAGCATTCTCCACCCAGATCCTCCATCTTCTAGTAGGCGGGGGTCACACCCACCAACTGCCCCCCAGCGCCGTGTAATCCCATCAACAGCCAAGACCCAGAGACTATAAAACCCAGCTCCCGGAAGAGAACAGCACAGAGTCTCCTGTCCCCGTGCCTGGCTGTCCTCTCCGGGACCCCTTGGAGGGGGGCAGGTTGAGTTTCCCTCCCCATCCCGACCAGAGCCCCAGCACCTGAAGACCTCCAGAAATAATCTTGTGTCATCTAATTCAGGTTTGGAGTGGCCATCTGTAGGTGGATGCAACTCAAGTTACTAGAATTAGTATTCTCGTAAAAGCCATAAAAGCCATTGCATTTGTCTATGTGTCCTTCCATCCCAGCCACCTGTTTATGTTCATTATACCCACAAAGACTAGCCCTCACTAGTTACACAGCCTAACTTTACACACAGCATTTAACTGACTGAAGCATTCCTTGGATCACAGGATCTGACCTCTATAACCACTTCCACAAACTCAAATTGCCCATCCCATAGTGCCAATGAAAATTATATTCTACTAGGGACATGTTGATTCCTAAATTTCCCCTGAGCAACAAACCTAAGATACCTCATCCTCTTCCCCCTTCCTTTTCATTTCACTTCTGGGCCGTCTTACTTGCAGAGTCTAACAGACTCAGGATTTCTGAGCCGAGATTGAAATTTCTTCTCCTTAGTATCCCCATTGCCAGTACTTTGGCTTATATGTACACACACACACACACACACACACACACACACACACACACACACACCACACAAAGCAGAGTAAATAAAAGAGGCAATCCAACTTTCAATATATTAAACTGTCATAACTCCAACTGTCATAAAAACTATGAAAAACAATGCAGAAATCACTTAACACTAAGAAAGAAAACCCAGTAATAAGGAGTAAGCAGGCTAACATTGCTCATGCTCCATTTAAAATTAATTTCCCATCTCAATAAACCAACGGTTTCATTGTGGGTTTTTTTTTAACATTTGCAAATCTCTAAGTTCAATGGTGCTGCCACCTCCGCTTTTCTGGATGACAGAAACCTCACTTCGGTAGAGATGGACAGGTACTTCTTTGCATGAGGAGATCTTGGTCTTGACTGTTGTCTGCTTCAGCTGCATCTTCATAATTTTCTTGTTCTTCTTTCATAGCTTCTTCATACTGGGTCAGGAAAGCGCTTGTGGTTGTTTCATTTATCTTGGCCAAAAACTCCATGACTTGCTTTCTGGTGGTTTCAGCATGAGCTTTGGGGCCCCAGAGGAACTCGTATCTGGGAGGATCACTGCCAGCTATCTGGCGATACTCCAGATAGTTGAGTCTCACCAGATCTTTGGTAATGAGCTTCCGGGGCTCTCCAAAGATGGAGTGCTTCCTGCCAGGATAGATTTTCATAATGCTCAGGAATTTCCAAATGTCCTCCTCCTTGGCTCTGTTGCCCTTCATCATGATCATTCCCAGGACATTCATCAGGAGGCCGGTCTTGGGGAGCCCCTTGCCAGCACGCAGCCTCCCGTTGTTGGGGAGCTTGATCTTGCCCACAAGATCATAGGCGTGAATGATGGGATCCACTTCCTTGACATTGACTGCGAACGCCACCTCGATACGCTCTGACGCTTTCTTCAGTATATCCATGAAGTAATCTTCGTACTCTGGACCGATGAGTTCCAGCATGTCGCTCTTCAAAATGAGTTGCTTCGATTTGAACCTGTACATCAGGAACTGCTCCAGCAACCCGGCCTTACTGGCTAAGATGTCGGGGGTTAAGTGCCGTGGGAGTTGAAAGAGGCCCAACCTCTCTGCTGCCGGGCTCCGGAAAGCCACCCTGGGCCGCTCTTGAGCAAGAGATGCCAGGAAAAAAGGCTGAGCACTCTGGAAGCTCTCTAGCACAGGGGCGCGTACCGGCTCTGGACGGTTGCGGCGGCGCCGGGGTCCCCTCCCACGTCGAGGACCCGGGACAGGAGCCGGGGAGCCCCTCGCAGAAGGGGGCTTCACTTCCACATTCTCAGCACCTTCTTCCCCAGGTGGCATGGTCGCTGCTTCTGCTACCTCTGCAGCGGCTACTGCCGCTGCTGCTGCCACTATGGCCGCTGCCACTGCCACTTCTGCTTTTGCTTCTGCTGCTGCTGCTGTGCCCTTTCCTTTGGTGGTCGCCGTCACCGCAGCATCTAGTGCCGCCACTGCCTCCACTGAGGCCGCCGCTGCTACTGCAGCGGTGGCCTGAGCCATGACCTCGCTGGGGACCTCGCTGGAGCGCTCCGATGCAGGGGCTTCCTGTCTAGCTTGGCGGCGTTTTCCAGAGGCCTGGCGCTTATGCTTATGCCCACGGGGCATGTTGGCACTAGACAGGGCCTAGTGGCAGGAGGGTAGAGGCCCAGCAGGGAAGGGGCACACCTGTAAAAATAAGAACAATATGGTGTGTGCACCGTGGGCACAGACAGGCCACCCTGGTCCCCCCTAGTCCCTTGCTGAGTTATTGGCAGACACTCTTCTTTTCTGCTATTTGTTTCCGGGTCACACCCAGCAATGCTCAGGGGTTACTTCTGGCTCTGCGCTCAGGAATCACTCCTAGTGGGGCTGGGGGGACCAGATGGGATTCCTGAGATTGAACCTGCACAGGTTAGCCAGGTACAAGGCAACTGCCCTACCTGCATACTAGTGCTCTGGCCCCCTGAGGGACATTCATCAGGATCCCGGGAATCCCTCCTCAAACAGCCAGTCATCCTCCTTCAGGCCAGCTCCAAACCTCACCATCTGCACTCCACCTCAAACCCACTACCTTCTGCCACCCATCCCCAGACCCACTGTACCTCCCCAAACCCTGCCAACCTCACCCCGCCCATCCCAACACTACAGTCTTTTCCAGCCCCTGCCATCCCCGCCATATTCCCCCATCTACCCCCAACCCCACAGTCTCCACCATCCCCACACTCTCCCCTCACCCCCAAACCCTTTGTCTCCCATCTCCTTTCCCATACTGACCCCCAAGCTCACTATCATCCACAAACCCTGCCACCCTCCCCTCAGCCACCCCATCCCTGTCTCCCCTACTCTTCCCTTCCCCTACCTACCTGCCACATTCACCTGGCCACTCCAAATCCTGCCCTCTCCCCTGATGCCCGCCATCTCCCATGACCCCCACCAGCCTCACTCCATCCATCCTCAAACCCGCCTCATCCTGTAGCCCCTGTCACCCTTGGCCACTGCACCCTCAACCCTGCCATCTCCCCGAACTCCTGCCGCTCTACCCACAACCACTCCAGACCCCATCATGTCCCCCAAACCTGGCCCCCGCCACCTTCACTCCCACAACCTTGCTGCTCCCCACCCCCCACAATGCTGGCTTCTCTGCCAACCTCTGCCACCCTCCCTCAACCCGTGGAAACCTGCCAAGCCCAATGTACGCCCCAAACTCCACCACCCTCACTGCCACCCCAACCCTGCCATCTCACCCACACCTCCACCTACCTACCCCTAATCCCACCATCTCCCCCCCACACCCCCATTCCCTCTGTCTGACTCTTATTTTCTCATCATATTTTGAGTCCTGGAACCACTTCAGATGTATGTCTAATGGGGAGTGAACTTGATACCAATAGAGACGAGCACTGTTATGTCACCAGATGGGCTGCAAGGAACCAGTCTGTCCTGGTATTGCCGCCTCTTCCCCTGCCCGCCCCCCACCCCCAATCCCTGGCGTTTTTCTTTGCTGTAAATCCAGCGGCCCGCCAGTGCTCTCCTCAGCCGAAAGTGGGCCCGGAACCCCGCCATGTCTGTAATGAAACCACGCCCTCATGTCCTCCCGCCGCCATGGCCACCGTCCTGCCCCTTATTCCCCCAGGACAGTGATCCTTCCCCCGGGTCGTGACAGGGTCTTCGAGCAGAGGAGACTCCGCCATGTTTGTTCCATGTTCGTGGGCGGCCTGGGGTGGGGGGAGGCATTTGCCTCAGTCACCTCAGGAACTCGGCAAGAGGCCCCTCGCCCACTTCAACGAAGACCCCGTTCCTCCATCTTTCCCCCAGCTCGGCCCTGGGAACTCTAGACCGCACCAGCGAACCTGACAGGGCCGAGCGGGGGGGCCCGTGGGTTCCCTCGGCCCTCACTGGGGGAGCTTGCCCCCACAGACTCCGCACCTGGGACTTGGCCACCTCAGCCCTGACTTCGCTTTTATCCCCCGCCTACCGAGACCCTCAAGGAGAAAGTTCTCGTCGAGGGCCCAAGAACGAAAAGCCCTCAGGGCCGAGCCGCACCTCTGAGCCCCCGAGATGGATGTCTCGTTCTTTCCACACGGGATTCTCGGGGGTCTTTGGGGGCTTGAACCTCACCTGGGGGCCCGAGCCGGCGAGTTATATATACACGCACACACGCACACAGGCACGAAGGGCGCAGCCGTCGTCTGCGGCGTCGCGTCCCAGTCGCGCCTCACCTCGAGCGGGACCTCCTGAGCTCCGGCTTTTATTGGGGCCCTCTGGGAGGGGGGGCCACTTCCTGGGGCTCTGGGCGCCAAGCCCCGCCCTCCAGCCAAGGCCTGCCAAGATGGCGCCAGGGCCCGAGACTGGCGTGACACGGAGATGCTGCAAGCGTGAAATCAGGCCCGGCTCCCAGAAGCCGGCCAGGACATTCCGGGAGCAAAGAGTGAACTGAGCGCAGAGACCACAGCTGTCCAGCACATTGTTGCCGTGCACGCTGGCAGGCTCTGGGTCCTGAGTTTCGTCCCTGGCACCGCAGGGATGTGTCAGCACCCCACACTGAAGCCCTGGTCCCCTCCCACCAGCAACAGGTGCCCCCGCCCTCCACCCAACCCCAAGTCATTATTCCCAATAATTATCTGTAGACTCACACCCCGAGTGGGTTAGACGCCTGCCTGTGTACCCCCCACCAATGCTCTGTCCCCGGCGCAGTGCGCAGACCCGGAGAAGTCCAGGAATTGTCCCTGACCGTGGCCACATGTGTGTGAACTCCGAGCAGCCGGTGCAGTGGCCCAGACCCCCCTACCAGAGAATGTTGTTCTCACTACAGAGGCCAGAGGGCTGGGGCAAATTTTGCCTGCCAGCATGCTCAGGGTTCTGGGTTTGATGCCTGGAATTCGTTCTGAGCTTTGTATGCATTATGGGCTCTAGGATTGGTTGCCCCAGTACCACTGAGTTTATTGCCTTAAAAATGTTTGCCTCGGGGCTGGAGCCATAGCACAGCGGGTAGAGCCTTTGCCTTACATGTGGCCAAGCCAGTTTTGATTGCCAGCATCCCATATGGTCCCCTGAGCACTCCAGGGGTAATTCCTGAGCACAGAGCCAGGAGTAACCCCTGTGCATTGCTGGTTGTGACCGAAAAAGGAAAAAAAAAAAGGTTTGCCCAAGTCAAAGCAAAGAAAAGAAAGAATATAAATTCTGTCACTGTCCTCCTGTTGTTCATCGATTTGCTCGAGCGTGCACAGTAATGTCTCCATTGCGACACTTGTTACTGTGTTTGGCATATCAAATACATCACAGGTAGTTTGCCAGGCTTTGCCTTACGGGCGATATACTCTTGGTAGCTTGCCGAGCTCTCTGAGGATGGAGGAATCGAACTCCGGTTGTCCATGTTGGCCGCTTGCAAGGCAAACACCCTACCCGGTGTGCTATTGCTCCAGCCCATATATATTTATATATACACAAATATATACACACATTTGTGTGTATATACCCTGGCCTAGACAAGCTTTGTATTATGAGGCATTGTACCTTCCTGTCATTATTCCTTCTTATTATTGACTATGGGCTGGAGCGATAGCACAACCGGTAAGGCATTTGCCTTGTATGCAGCCAACATGGCCGACCCGAGTTCGATTCTTCTGCCCCTCTTGGATAGTCCGGCAAGCTACTGAGAGTATCTCGCCCGCACGGCAAAGTCTGGCAAGCTACCCGTGATGTATTCAATATGCCAAACACAGTAACAACAAAGTCTCAGGATGGAGATGTTACTGGGCCTGCTCGAGAAAATCAGTGAACAACGGGAGGACAGTGACAAGACAGTGATTATTGATTATTGATTTCAGTATTATTGCAGGCATATAACTCAGTGATAGAGCATTTTCCTTACTATCTGGAACTCTAGGTTATATCACACACACTGCAAAAAAGAAAAAATCAACCATCCTTTGTTTGGTATCCGTATTCCTTAGGTTGTGTATTTCTGTCTAGTGCATTGGGCAGAAAACATCTTTTATTTAGTTGTCTGGGATGTTTCCAAATGTTGGAGAGAAAGTGAATAGAAGTTCACAAGGTTTGCTTTGGGATGGAGATCGTGAAAGTGTGTGTTTGAAAATGGCACACCAGGTGTCTAATCTTCCTGTCACTTAAAGACTTGTGACTATGAGACTGTTGCAAATCCTCATCTGCCAATGGGGTTTGATAAACCCCATCTTGTAGGAATCTTGGAATATATGTGTCGGATATAAAGCATCTGTAATTGATAAATATTTTGTCATTAATAATGCTTGATTCAAATTTTTGCCAATATTATTCTATTGGGTATTTTTAAATCCATTAGAGGTAGGAGAAAATGCAATATTTTGAGACAAAATAACAGTGAATCATTTTACCTACTAGTACTAAATAGCTTTTATTCAGTAGTTCATTATTGAGAGACAGTTCAGTGGGTATGGTGCTTGCCTTGTATGAGGCTGACCCAGGTTTGATCCCTGGCACCCCATATGGTCCCCTGAGCACTACAAGTACTAATTCCTGAGTGCAGAGCCAGGAGTAACCCCTGAGTATATCTGGGTGTGGCCCAAAACAAAACAAACAAAATAATACTAGTGAATTCTGCTTGATAAGCCCCGTTTTATTTTATTTACAAAGTTTATTATTGAATCACTGTGCGTTAGAACTTTAGAAAGCTGTTCATGATAAGGTTTCAGTCATACAGTGTTTCAACATCCATATCTTCACCAGTGTACATTTCTCAGTACCAGTTTCCCCAGTTTCCCTCTCATCAACCCTTCCCCCAAGCCTGCCTCTCTGGTAGGCACTCTCTCTCTCTCTCTCTCTCTCTCTCTCTCTCTCTCTCTCTCTCTCTCTCTCTCTCTCTCCCCCCCATCAGTCTCTCCTTTTCCTCTCCTTTTGGACATTATGGCTTGCAATACAAATACTGAAAGGTTATCCTGTATATCCCTTTACCTACTTGTAACACTCAGTTCTTGTCCAGTGTGATCATTTCCAACTATTAGGGTAATTCTGGTCTCTTCTCTATTTTACCTACCATTCCAAACCACACCAAACCACACACACTTGTGGTTGATTCCAACCATTTACCAGTACTCCAAGATCCTGTTTTCCTTCGCTGTGGATATGTC